GTTGTTCCGCCATTCGGTCTATTTGCATATTAGGTTTTTATATGTACAGATGATTTTAATTTTTATTTTCCTTATTACTACTGATGTTGTGCAGCTTTTATCGTATGCCTCTTGACCATTTAGAAATTGCTTTGTGAAGTGTCCAAGTGTTTTACACATCTTATTGAGTTGGCTTGTCTTTCTCTTATTGATTTAAGGCATTATTTTATTTTAGAAATAAGTTTGTTTTTGTTGGATATATGTATTGTTGCTATATCTACTCGTACCCTATGGTTTGCCGTTTCACTCTCTTAATTTCTTCTGCTGAATAAAAATTCTTAATTTTAATAAAAGCAACTTAGCAATCTTTTCTTCTATGGTTAGTGTTTTTTATGTCCTGTTTAAGAAATTGTTGAGTACTCTTACCAAATCATGAAGCTATTCCATGTTATCTTTCAGAAGCTCTATTTTTTTTCTTTCATTTGATTTTTATAAATTGTATGAGACTTTTACCCCTACCTGGGTAGTCAGTTGATCCAGCACCATTTATTGCAACCATGTAAAACTCAAAGGCTAACATGGACCAAATAAACAAGGTTTACGGTTATGTGGGCCACAAAAATATCAAAAGCTTCAATTTTCATATAAACATAAGTTTATTTCAATGGAGACATGCTGAATACCAAGGGCTGAAATAAATGTGTAATAATTAACAAAATAATAGAACATTTTAATAAAAATTAATGTTTTTTCTTGAACATTAACTACCAGACACTAAATAGCTACACAAATTAATAAGCATAATGCAAATAAACCTTTTTTTTTTGTTCTCCAGAAGCAAAATATTTTCTGTTGCACACACCAAACAAGTCAGTACAAGACTAATGACATGGCAATTGGCTGCTAAAATATTCGCTGCTAGTATTAGTGGAGAGAAATGGTGCTCCTGCACGTAACGCTTGTAAGGGAAGTGAATGCAACATGATTATAGTAATCAGTCATTAGTGAACGCTGTAGCTCGCTATTAATAATTATGCATAACAGGATATTGTAAAAATTAAGTTACAAAATTTTTATTAAAACATTTCTTACAGACCGTTATATTGGCTGGGCCGCAAAAATATTCGTTGTAGGCCACAAGTTTGACATGCTTGATCTAGTGAAAAGTCTCTGTTTTCTGTAAACTACTGCATTGCAGTGTCAGCTTTGTCATGTGACTGTATGTGTGTAGATCTGTTTCTAATCTCTATTCTGTTCCCTTTGCCTCCTTGTCTATTTTTATACCAATACCAGACTTTTAAAATACTACAGCTTTATAATGATTCTGGGATCTGGGAGTTAATGTCCTCTAACTTTGTCTTTTAAGATTTTTGTTGTTGTCGTTTAATGGCTCAACATATGGCCAAGTGCTGCATGCACTTGAAAAGAATGTGTATTCTTAGATGCAGTGTCTTTTGTATATATTAGATCAGGTTTGTTATTGAACAAATATTTGAAATTATGTTATATCTACACTAATAAAGAGAAAGATGCAAATTAACCATCTTTCTGCTACAACCATAAGCCACGCCCACCAGCCAATCAGGAGCCAGTATGCAAATTAACCCAACGAAGATGGCCGTGGCCACGGAGCTAGAGCAAGCAGGAGGCTTGGGTTGCCCCCGGTTATGGAGGAAGCCAAGCTTCCCGCCTGCCCTGGTCGGCCCTGGGCTCAGCTCAAGGCTACAAAGTTTCAATTATAAAAGATAAATAAATCCCAGATACCTGCTTCCAGGCCACCCTAGAAAGAAAAAACGGAGAGGCTGGGAGCTTGGGTCACCAGGGGGCGTGGCCAGCCTGAAAACGGCCATCAGCCCCTCACCCAGGCTGGCTAGGCACCCTAGCAGGACCCCCTCACCCTGAAGGGGCTGTGGGCAGCCTGAAAACGGCCCTCAGCCCCTCACCCAGGCTGGCCAGGCACCCCAGCGGGACCCCCCAACCCTGAAGGGGCTGTGGCCAACCTGCAAACACCCATCAGCCCCTCACCCAGGCTGGCTAGGCACCCTAGCAGGACCCCCTCACCCTGAAGGGGCTGTGGGCAGCCTGAAAACGGCCCTCAGCCCCTCACCCAGGCTGGCCAGGCACCTAGTAAAAGGGTAATATGCAAACTGACCCTAACAGCAGAACGACTAGGAATGACTGGTCACTGACACACACTGACCACCAGGGGGCAGACACTCAAT